AATGAGTAAATTAATATGTTTTTAAGCTGTAAATACTATTAATGAGAGTCTTGAATTGTTTTAATAAAACTGTGAATGAGAGTCCTACAATGTTTAATTAATTTGAGAATTATTATGGTGCATACAAGGTATTTATGAAATACTTCAACAAAATCAAGTATCTTTTTAATTTGGAAGTATTGTGAATAAGACTCCTCAACTGTTTTTTTAAGTTGTGAATTAAAGTCTTGAAATGTAAATTTTAAGTTAAGAATATGATTGTATATGTATATTTTTGTGTATTAAACTTTGAATGTATAACATTGAGCTGTGAATTTTGTGTATTAAAATGTGAATTAACTATACTAAACTATGCAATGACTGAACTAAAATGTGAATTGACTGTATTAAGCAGTGAATTAACTGTATTAAGTTGTGAATTTTCTATGAATTATTTGTTTGCTTCTGAAATATGAGATGAAATAAACATTATACACATATAATTTTATCTAATTTTGAATAAAGTATGTAAAATTTAAATTTAAAATATTTGTGTAAATAAACTTTGAAAGAAACATTATGTTAATGATATGAAGGTATAAATGTAAGTTTTAAGTTGACAATATGGTTGTGAATGTATAATTTTTGTGCATTATACTGTGAATTTATTATATTAAGCTGTGAATTTTGTGTATTAAACTACAAAATTGACTATATTAAGATGTGTATTTTTAATGAATTTTATGTTAAATTATAAATGATTTATGAATGAACTTTTGTATTAAGTTTTTTTGTGAATATATGTATTTTTGTGTTGTATAAATATGTAATAATGTATTAGTTTTTATAATTATTTTGCATTAAACTATGAATAAGTGAATTAATTAGTTTATTTAAATTGTGAATGTAGTATTCAAGTTGTTAATCAATGATTTTTTATATATAGATCTGATTTGGAAGGAATGACGGTTGCGACGGTGGCACATATGGTTGGTGGTGGTATGTGATAGTAGTTGGTGATGTTCGTGGTAAAGTTTGAGTTTGACATCTTTGAATATGTAAATTATTATATAATGAAATGTATTATGTTATAATGTGAATTTTATGTAATAAACTAAAAACGGATTACATTAAGCTGTATATTTTATATAAATTTTAGTGTTAAAATATGAATGAATGTATGCATGAAAACATTAAACTGTGTATTAGAGAATTAATATATTTATTAAACAGTAAATATGATATTTTAAACTGTGAATATGTCTTATATACGATATATTTTATAAAGAAATCTACAATTTATAAAAAAAAATGAATTTGTCAAGGCATATATCTATTTTTTTAATAAAATTTTGTATATAAGATGCAAAAATAAAATGGTATTAAGTTAAAAAGTATTTATCAAAGAATGAGAATTACAATGTTTGTTTTATTAAGGTGTGAATACAACTAGAAAATTCCATTGAATTTGGTGTTAGTCTAACGTTGGTCCGACGGTGGTACCATGGCAGTCCAACGACGGTCCAACCGTGGTCTGATGGTTGTCCAACAAGAAGTTGAAATTAGTTGTAAACTAAGGAATTGAAAATTTTGCTTAATATTATATTAATTTTTGTTTTAATCAAAATGTCCTTAACGAAAACATTTTAAAAAATAGTTCTTAGGGTTCTTAACCTCATTCGTGTCCGGTCGGTTTTTTACAACCCTAGTTGCATACAAGGCTAGTACGCGATGCGGACACTACAACAACAACAACTAAAAAAAGACACTTAAAAGAATCGGTCATTTGCACCTTAATCACCTAAAATTAGTTTACAAATAGATGGAGACGAATTATGGGGTTTCAAGCTAGAGATTGAAGGGGGGCAAGAGGAGATTAAAGAGAAGCTTCAAGTGTTGATTATTTTACCTTAATAAAAAGAGTAAGCTTTTAATTCATTGCTAATTCTAACTATATGAGTAGATATTGGAGAAAAGCTAAAGAGCCCTAGAATTGATACGTTCTTGATTAAGAAAAAGTAGTGAAGGATTAAGGTGGGTAAGGTGTTTAATGTGTGACTCTTTGCTTGAATTCCAAATTTGAGTTTGTAATTAAATTATGGCGAGATTGATGATGGTGGGGAAGGATAAACCCTAATTAATAAATTGCTGATTTAATTGAAACTGAAGCGATGTTTGGATGACTTAAGTGATAATGTATTGGTGGACTATAACCAATTTTGACTCAATAGATTATTAGTACATGTAATTAAGTCATGCTTTATATGCACACATGTTTTTTTGTCTGGTTATATTGTTTGAATCTTAAAATAGTTTTTAAAAATATAAATACATATATTTATGTATTTAGAAGTATAGATACATATTAATATTTCTAAAAAGATGTAAAAATACTTATTTATACTACTAAAAATTATATCTATAAAATATATATATATATATATATATATATATATATATATATATATATATATATATATATATATATATATAGGCTTAGGTTATTATATTCAAAGTAATTATTGTGTTATTGTATGTATAAATGTGGGCCAATCATTTTACTTATTTTAAGAAAGTGATTAATACATATTACTGAATTAAATATAATCGAAAAATACCATCTAATTTAACTAGAAGGGTATTTTAGTCAACTAATATAGATTTAATAAAGGAAAATTGCATATTTTAAGGGATTATAAATTTTGTTAATTTAAAAATCCGATTTTACGAATTATAAGGTTTTTAATTCGAACATTCTGACAGAATATGTTTGAGTATGTTCAAAACTAAAAATATTCTAGAACCATAAAATAATAAAAATATTCTTCAACATATTTCTTGTAGAATAACAAATTCTCGAATCAGCAATTGAAGAATTAAAACAAAAATTACATTAATATTTATAGAATACAAATAACAATTGCTAAGAATTACATTTATTGTTAAAGAATAAAACTAAAAAACTTTCAAATCGGGAAAAAAACATCAAAATCTAACAAATACACTAATTCATTCTAAAAGAATAATGTTGCTAAGAGGCGCCGTTCAAATTTCGTGGTCCGTTCTTCAAGCATCAGCTTCTGTGGAAACAAATCCAATGAATAAATTAGTGAGAAAATATCCATATTCCATTCCAACATAATTGGAATTCGTGATTCCATTCTGATAGAATTGAAATTCATTTACCAATGATTATATTAATTCGGGACATTCTAACAGAATATGTTCATGATTATCATAAAAAACATTATTTTTTGATAGAATACTATAACAAAGAAATACCATTCAGTTGAAGCATTTTAGCGAGCGCTTGGTGTGCATCAAAACAACTTTCAATTTCCTGTAAAAATTAGACAATCATAACAAAATCCCAATTCAAAAAAATATTACACCTTGAAAGAATTAGACAATAAACCTAAACACATCCAAAATTTCTTTGATTTCTGTCAAACAATCAACCCAAACATCCATTCTATATATTGAAATCAAATCAATTTAAACTTCATTGGTTTACAATAAATCAGTCAAAATAAGAAGCATAAGGAAAAAACTTGTTTGACGAGTTCAGGGGAATCTTTCCCAAAAAAAACCTGGTCTGCCATCAGAGGAGAAGACCGACGATCGGAGTGAGGATGAGGGCAGGTCCGATCTATGCAACAACGTATGAACACCCGCTACCCGAGGTACAGTCACGGGAACAGCTCCATATCCGACTATAAGATCTAGATGATATTCGCTTGACAATTAAAAGAAAACACCTATCACAATTAATTATCGTTTTATCGACGATGAATAGAAGAGAAGAGGGAACAGATGGGATCGATTAGCAAAGAAATTAATTAATACGTACCTATGAAATCAACGAACTTGTTCTTGCGAAGGCTTCGTCTAGATACGATGATGACACGAGGTAAGATGGCGGTGAGATCAGAGCAAGAGTCTACGAAATCGACGATGAATAGAAGAGAAGAGGGAAGAGGCGGACGTGAGGATATATACTAGAAATTGGGTTATAAAACTGATATTCCTAAATTAAAGGGATATTAATTGATTTATATATTTACCATAATTAATTAAATGTAAGATTACATGTTTACCCTTTTGAAATGATTGACCTACATTTATTCATACAATAACACAATAATTACTTTAAATACCTGAACCTCTCTCTCTCTCTCTCTCTCTCTCTCTCTCTGTGTGTGTATATATATATATATATATATATATATATATATACTTCTAAAAATGTATTTTTATGTTTTAAGCGGTATAACCATACAAAAAACTCATATATATATATATATATATATATATATATATATATATATATATATATAAAGAAATGACATTTATAAAGAACATAAATATAATATTTAATTAAACATTTTTTTTATATATAATACATTTTTTCTGTATTAATAATAATAATAATAATAATAATAATAATAATTTTAAGAGTAAACGTAAAAGGAAAACCAGATTTATTTTTTTTTTTGGCAAATATGAGAGTTTTCTTGTGAATTTAATATCATGGTTCCCTTGAAAACCTGTTCTCGATAAAATGGTAAAACCCAACATTTTTAGCAAATATCATGGCATTAATGAACATAAAAACAGACAAGGTAAAACCAATTTTTTTTTTTGCAAACATGAGGGTTTTTATGGCAATTCCCCTTGCTTAAAATATAAATAGCATAGATTAAAAATTTGTTAATACTAAAGATGGCATGAATAGGCCAAGTTCTTTGCTGCTCTTGATGAAACCATGAAAGAAATAGCAACATACTTTTATTTAGTGATAATGACGACAGGCTTGGACAGCTAAATGCAAGAAATAGCAACCTACTTTCATTTATTTGTTTATTATAGCATCAGACTTTTCATTTCATCATGTTATAGTGTTGTACTTTCTACTTTTTCTTATGAAAGCATTGTACATTTTCTCATCTTTTTACTGTTTATAACAAGCATGCAAAGAATTAAGAAAAGTAAAAAGTAAAAACCCTGATGGCGTAAAAGAATGTCAAGATTTCTTCTTTACTTTTAAAAGAGATATGGAATCATACCCAACTATACATCATGTACACAAGAATTAGAAACAGAGAAAACCAAGAATTGTTGCCCAACAAGAAACAACACCCAAAGTTTCACCTCTCAAATCAAATCAGTAATTAGTTACACAACCATCAAACCCACATTCATTTCACCATCAGCCTGCAATCATTATTATTAAACTGTATTAATCAATCAACATTTCAGCTTTTTTATGTAAGAATATAACCACCAATTATGGAAAGAACTACTGACCTTCTTCAGAGAAAGCAAACACCCCACCAAGCATATCATCATCACCATCTTCCTCAGATTTATTCCTCTGATGGAGGCGATTTTTTCCATCAACTTCATTAATTTCTCTTTTTTCCTGAGTTGAAGGGTTGCAGTATTCTTCTTGGAAATCGTGTCCATATCCATCAACAATATTGTTCATGCTCGAGTCGGAACGGTTTGAACCAGGGTTCGAACCGTCACTTTCTAAGGACTTGACCCCGCGAGCCACGGTTAGGTCGGGTGGGATTGAGTGGTCAATTGGAGATGGAGAATTCATGATTTCATCGAGAGGAGGGTAACAAGTTAGCCTATTCATGCTGTCTTTATTATTTACAGTTGAAGCAAGAATAGGGTAAGATACAATCTGTGCTTCTGTTGCTTCTAGTGATGAGCCTGTGAGAAAAAAAATAATAATAAATAATAAATAAAAAATAGTGTTGGGTGAGAATTACATTTAAAGGAATTAATTAATGGGATCTGTCAAAGGAATTGTAATGTGTCACGTGTTTGTTTGGAAAGAAACAGAATGAAATTCAATCACATGCATTTGTTGTTTACTGGTTTCATGTTTATTTAGTTTGTTTGTAAGTTAAAGGGACCATTTCTGTAATTTTGTGTTATACAGGGACTATTACTATAACTTTGTTACACAGGGACCATTTCTGTAACTTTATCTTACACAGGGATCATTTCTGTAATTTTGTCTTAGGCAGGGATTGTTTCTATAAATTTTTACACAGGGACCATTTCTGTAACTTATCTTACACAGGGATCATTTTCTGTAATTTCGTCTATTTCCTACAGAAGGATCATTTCTGTAACTTTTGACTTAGGCAGGGATTGTTTCTGTAGTTTTGTTAAAGAGGGACCATTTCTGTCATTTTGTATTTGAAACACAGGGACTATTTTTTGTAATTTTTTTCATACAGGGACCATTTCTGTCATTATATCTATCTGAATACTACAGGGACTAAAAGTGCAATTCGCTAAAAAAACACTATATCTTGAATTAACCTTATCAATAGTGTATATAACATTTTAATAAATGTTATATAGGAAATGGGTTTCTGAGGGCACTTTGGTCTTTTCTTATGAAAAGATGAAGAATGGAATTATTCAATTCTTACCACCAACATATAGGAATGATGAAATCCTTCCATCAAGGAGTTTGAAGGAGACTCCAGGAGTTAAATTCCATTGGTTTGGCAACCAAACACGCCTCAAAATGGAATTTTAGATTCCAACTCCTGTGGATTCCGCTGGGATCCAATGGAAACGGAATTTGAGATTCCATTCCATGGTGTGTTTGGTTGGCTGATGGATGGAATTCAAATTCTGTGAGCATCCTTCAAATCCCATGTTTGATGGATTTCACCATTCCTAGGGAGGGTGGAAGGAATTCAATTCCATTTTTCCCTTTTCATTTACATTCATTTTATATATACCCTGATATAAATAGAAATGTATAATTTTAACTATGTATATTTTAAATAAGAAAAAATAGTAAAAGATAAATAAAAAATTAAACCAAACAGTCTTACCATGAGAGACAATGGAACCTTGAGGAAACTTTTCATTGCTGCTACCACCATGGGAAGACGAAGCAGAATATCTACCAGCACCAAACACTCTTCAAATAAAGTCAAAAACCAATTAAGTTATAAAAGCTTTACGAGGATGAAAAGGGCATTTGCGTCTTTTGCAAAGAGAGTCACGCATGAAAAGATTAAAAGACGTAAATACCCTGGTTACAATGAAATTAAAAAAATGAAAAGAAGAGGGGGGTTAATGTGAAACTACCGGTTATCAGTCCAACCAGGATGAACTACACAAGAGCTATCGAAAACAGGCAGCAAATCTTTCTCCCTAATTTCAATCTCATGCACTGGGATTGTTTCAATATCAACCTCCCCACTATCATTTAGCTCTTCATGAAACTGTGGGGCCATTGCATAGAAATATATCTGCATATCATAATCAGATCATAACTCATAAGCATTCGTGAAAAATGCCAACATACATCTGCGAAAAAGACATAAATACCCTCTCCTCATCCTCATCATCGAGAATAGCCCTGGTAAGCACCTTGGACTTGGATTGAAGTCAACGAGACAAAAATTGCAATTTTTGTCCCACACAAGAAGGTGGGATATCCCTTGTTTATACAAAAAGACGTAAATACCCTTCTCACCTTCGACTTTTGCCAAACGGGAACTCTCCCGGATCTCATTTGCACCTCCGCATGAGAAAGATACCACCGCGATCTCTCTTTTAGTTTACTCAAATCCTTCTCCACAACACCACCATCTTCATCATCAGAATTAGCCATCACCGCCTCCACCAAACCATGTCTTCCCGGAGCACCACCAATAAACTCCTCTTTTTCCGGCCAATCCGTTCTCCGGCAAACATCCCACCACTGAACGGGTTCAACTTTCACCCTCAACTCCTCATCTTGAGGCGAACCACTGGATTCCCCTTGCTCCCTTCCTAAAGAAGGCAACAACTCATACTGAATCACATACCCAGATGGCGTATACACCAACAAATGCTCTAATACATCAGCTTTAGAAACAGAAGGTTCCGGATGATTCCGGTGTACGGAAGAATGGAAACAGGCGGCAATGACACCTGGCGGGACAGCCGCCTTTCCGGCGGTGTTAATCCACCCGAAATTAACGTTTTTTATTCTGCTAACTACTGATAAGGTGATGGGGGGTGGGGGTGGGGGTGAGAATGATTGGTCTTTTGTGAAAGAGGAGGTTGACCACCATGGTTGTGATACAAAAGGTGAGAGTTTGGTTTTGGAGTTTTGTAATTGAATACCAGTTTCACCACCAAAAGGAGATAATAGAAAGATATGACATGTGCCCCTTGATGAAACTACAGCTATCCATTGACTATAATGACTAAAACATATGTCTTGTATCACCTGTTAAATCAACAGAAAACCATACTCACCAAATAATCAATAAGCTGGATTTATATATAAAGCTTAGGTGCAAAACCACTCAAAACAACCTAGTTTTGAGGATAAAAACCACCCTCTTGATCTTTTTTTCCAGTAAACCATTTGTGACAAAAACTACGTCGTTTTGAGTGGTTTTATAATTTTAGAAAAAGGAGAGAGAAAGTAGAAACGAACAGCAGAAGTCATGCCACGATGGAGTTTATAAAGATGAACATGAGAAGAATTCCAATCAAAGTTTCGGTTGCCTGATTCGTTATGTGAGGAAGATGGAAGAATCCGGAAGATATTGATATTATTCCCGTGAACCGATGCAGTGACCAAAAGGGTCCCACTTGGATCAAAACATAGTGCAGAGATAGGACTTGTGTGGGCCCTAAATTGTGAAACGACAGCTCTTGATATGAAATCTTTAATCACAACCTGCATAGATAATTTTTAAATATGATTCAAAAACAAGTTTTATTAAAATGCCGAAGGGGTAAATAATTATAAGTAGGGGATTTTGTTATGGAAATAGATTGAATGATTAGAAAATAAACATACAGATATTAAAATTTAGAAATAAATGAAGCAGTGATTGATAATTTAAAGGGACCAAGATCACCCGTTTTTATTACTAACCTGGATGTTTAATTAATGGGTTGATAACTAAAATAACCAAAAGAGTGGGGCCCTACAGAAAATCATGAATCTTTGCATTTTTTCACGAAATGACATCATTTTCAACAAATTGATGATGTAATCTCCGAAAAATATGTCATTTGTCAAAAAAAAAAAAGCATTTTACAAATTCCTTTTTGCAAAATGGGTGATATTACCCCACCTTGATTCTGTCATTTTAGTGATTAACCCTTTTTTAATTTCAACTAACAAAACATAAGATTAAAATTTTATTGGCAAGATTTATTACGTAAGTTCTCAGATGCTTAGTCTTTTAACAAAACATGCATAATGTTCATAGATTATTAAGTTAATAACCAGATCATTGCGATGTCTTGCAATCACTTTGTTTATTTCCTTTTAAATGCTTACAATAAGTGAAAATAAATATTAATAAATTAAAAGATTATCAACTTAAATATAAAAAATCTTACCATTCCTGCATTAGCATTTTCAGTAGAATGAGGCACAGCCCTAGCATCAGGAAGAAGCTCATGGCAATATTTAGACAAAGTTCTGTAACTCATATCTCCAAGATTAATAAGTCCACTAGCTAACTGCTTGCTGGATTCCATGGCATATCTAGCCATTAAACTTCCACTACCAGGTGAGGTTGAGGGACTGACACCTGGCGAAGGGCTTAGATTTTGAGGACTTAATCTCCCTGTGTTTGATAATAATGGGTTGTTGGAAGCATATGCTAACCACCTGGGACCCACAGCCATTGGCCCATATCCAATATTGATTCCAGAAAGTCCTTGTCCTCCTAATTGAGATATTGGATATGTGAGCACACTAAATTTGTTTTCCAGTGTAACTGCATCAAAGCAATATATCTGCCATGAAAAAAAAAAAAAAAAAAAAAAAACATTGTTAATTGTTCGATAACATTCGTTTTCAAAACTAAGAAAAAAAACATTTTTAATATGATTCGTTCCTTGATGAATAAAAAGTGAAGCTCGACAACTATTAAGTTGGGAACTGAATTAAACATAAATTTCACAAATGGAATAAGAAAACAAAAAAATTAGTAAGGGTTTGTTTGGTTGGATGGAATGGAATGGCAAAGGAATGGAATGAGTCATTACATTCCATGATCATGTTTGGTTGGCCTATAGGAATAGAAATATGGAATGAAATTTCATACCAACTTTTTATATTATATGTAAATACAATTTATAATATTTTAACTCTATTCTATAAATTATTTTTTTTTTCACAATTATCAGACTTTTATTTACAAAAATAAAATAAAATAAATTGAACATAACAAAAAAGCTCGTTAAATTCCAAATAAGTTACACAAAAATTATATTATTTTTGTTATTTTAAAGACTTATAAGTGTACTTTGATTAAAATAATAATAATAAATTTTAAAACTGTGTCAATAAAATTTAAATAAATAAAAACAGGCTATATTGCAAATTTTCAATTCATCCGTGATGGGATGAAAAAAATACCCATGATAATAAGGAATGAAAATTAACAAAATGGAAGGAATCACATTCCTTCAACAATGGTTCATTCCATTCCGATGTGCAAAACAAACAGGTTCTTTTCATTTCCATGCAATGAATCATGAACCATTCCATTCCTTCCTTTATTCCATCATACCAAACACCACATAAAAAATCTACCCAACTATAGCAATGTGTCCAAACACAAAGCAATTTTCACTGCTATAACTAACTGAGTTAAATTTTCCAATGTATAATGTCCACATAAGAAAAAACTAAAATTAGAATGCTATAATTTGGTAGATACCTAGATTATTTAAATACATTGCTATTTCTTGCATTTAACCCCTTAAAAATTCAAAGAAAGATAAAAATAAGAGTGAATGTAAATGGATAATGGATATAGATGCTTACTTGTGAAGCGAGACCTACAGCTACTATCCTTGGACTGCATCTAACCATATACACAGTTGATCGAAACCTCAACACATGAACATAACTATGTGACCTTAATGAGTAGAATCTCACAGCTCTAGGAGAATACATGGAATTATCCATCTGAGATTCATCTCTTTCATTGTGTGATATACCTGAAACCCTAGCTTCTTCACTAGCCACAACCAATAACAAGGGGTGTGACATTTTGAATCCTTCATGGGCATCAGTTGTTGTTGCATCTTTAGGGGCAGGCTGTATTTGTAGAAATGTGACTGGATCATCACGAGTTGAAACTAGTTCACTAAAATTAGAACCATCATCCACATCAAGAACTTGAAAACCATTTGAGTAACCTAGTAGAAGGACATTCTTGATTGTTGATGGATTAAGCTCTAATCTATCAAAGCAAGACCATAGTACCTGTTCAAGAAAATATAATGTTGAGTGATTATTATAATTTATAATTTATAGTCTTACAGAGCGATTAAACAAAAGTTTAGGGGTGATAGTGCAAAAGAAGGGACTTTTATTGATAAGCAATAGATTTTTATCATTTAAATATATTATACACAATCCATGTGTTACATGTGTTGAAGTGTAGAAACATGCAACATGATCACATACAAGATCATAATTGCACAACAGTTGCTTATTGATTAATACAATATAACCTATTTAGTTTATAAGTACAATACCAAAATTGCACAACATGGAAAGAGAACACGTGATATGTTAAATAAAGTAAGTTTAATTTTAACCTAACCCTAAAGATTTTAATATTGAAATGATAATTCACAAAAGTAGCACTCATTCCATAAGCATTATGTCTAGCAAGTCAAATCTAAAACATCTCATTGAAGTAATTTCTTTTTAAGTCCATAAGCATAAAGAATTATGTTTTATCTAGCATGCTAGAAGCCTAGCACTCTATTTGGACCCACAACAAAGTACACACAAAAAATGCATGTTTTGACTATCGAACTTGCTTTGATTTTCTAATACTTCCTCATCTGCAAAGAAGCAATCACCTTTGTCACCTCAGCTCCTTTTTCTCACTTTCAGGTGTATGTTGTAAGTTCACTTTCCATTTTAAATTGTAACAGAAACTAGTGAGATTTTTGTCTATATCCTCTTTAATTTTTTGTCATAAGTGCAAAACTTCCCCAATTGTATAAAAGTTCCATATCTACTCATATCAGTAGTAAACAATTCAAGCATATGATTAAAGTGACCCCCTGCTACACCCTTGAAAAAGCTCCAATTTCCAAACAATTCTTGTAGTTCCAAGGGTGAAATCGCACAGTTGTTTATGTGGCTATCATAGAAAGAGTAGCATCTCCAGAACCACAAAACAAATAAACCCTATATTTAAGGAAAGATCCAAATATCTCATCCACTAGTCCCCAATCCAAATTAAGTGTCTCATTAATGATTAATCGCTAAATTAGATTCGTCAGTCTCTATATCAATTTCCATTTCCGAAGAAAATCCAAGCAATAATTTCTACAATATATACTCAAAGTAGATAAAAATACACATGAGATTAATTTCATAATCCAGTATTAAAACGGTAGCAAGAACATAAATCCTTATCCTTAAGTAATACAGTAAAATACTCTTCAACAAACGCGAAATCAAACGACTAAATAATCGATCATAAAACCTGGTCTTTTCGAAGTTCATCGGAGGAATCACCGGAAACCGATCCAGAAACGGAGGCTCCAGCGGACCTGACGTTCGAAGAGACGGTCTTGATATATGAAGAAATGAATCTGAACGAATTAGGAATTAAGCCATTGCTGTTGTCATGTTTATCATTATTAGCCTTGTTTTGGTTTCTCCTCATAATAATAATCGACTACTTGTAATTTCACCGGCACTCCCTCCTCCTCCACCACCACCACCACACACCGCCAAGCGTCGAAGATTCACGATAGAATAGGGCATCAAATGATGAACTTCACCGGAAGAAAAAAAAAAACTTGCAAGAACACGGCGGAGATTACAGCGGTCAGAGATTTTCAAAGTGTTTGTTGGGTTTGACCTTCACATCGACGGTTCCTCTCTCTCTCTCTCTCTCTCTCCCTCTATCTGTGATTACAAGTTTGCTTGTTAATTGCGCCGTAAGCTAATTGTGGTAGTTGTAATATAGAGTCCCTTAAGATTATAATTTGTCAATTTAAACCTTCCTTTTTGACTTATTACTAAACACCACTTCTAATATATCTTGTTTTTTTTATGTTAACTTTTTGTAGAACTCTCGTATAAGGCCATGTTAGGATCCGATTTTTGGATATGTGAAATTATTTTTCACTTTTTGTTAGGATCCGATTTATATCCAAATTCATATATAAATTGTGGATACCCAAAAATTTAATATATAGATACATGATATCACATTTGATATTGAAATTCCAAACTTTAATATTTTAGGTTTTTACAGTTGTGATTCGTATTGTTGTTATCTATTTAACATGCCACTTGAGAATATTCGAAAATATCTACTAAAGAATATTCGAAAATATCTACTAATCACTTAACACAGCAACACCTTAAAACAATTATTTGAAGCTACAAACCAATGCATCGAAACCAACTTATTCGTTTTATACCCAAAACATGTATAAAGAAAAGTAATTATTACAAGTATACCCCCATTGAAATGTTGTGGTCTTCCCATTCTAGGATATAGATCAAAATGTGCTATTCATGGATTTGGATAATTTGAATATCCACTTTTTTGGAATATAACTATCAAATATCTATCAAAAGAACTGAAATCGGATTTTGAATATCCAAAACTTTCCCATATTTTTTTGTTATTTTTTCAAATTTAAAAATCTTTTTTACAATCCTAATTGTAATGTTTCTGAATTAAATAATAGATCACTCTATAATATTCATATTAACTATATAATATTACAATAACTCAAAAACGGTAAATTGCATTCCTTAATGTCTCACGACGCACCCATAAAGACCATCATGCATAATATAAGGCGTAAATCATATAACACTAACAATCAATGAAGTATGTTTGGGTTTGACCTTGAGACCTCTTGTATTGTTTGTGGTTTTATTTAGTGTAATCGACTCACTTAGTAATATCATGATTAACTCGAGACAAGTTGAGTTCGGTTTTAGAAATACTGCAAGCTTGGGAAGTGCGAAGATAATGTACGCAATTTGATCTCGGGAACATGGGGTTCGGGGGCAACGACCCCAGCAAGATCTGAGTGGTAGGCCACAAAATAGTATCTATATATAGCGGATATATATACGTCTATTAATTTTTCCCATAAAAACTGACAAACGTGTGTGTTCCAACAGACGCAACTTTTCTACAATTTTAACAAAAATTAACTACCAAGTATCTTTACCTATAAGATTTTCAGTTTAGTATTCCCTTATATCTTTATTGAAAAATTATTGTCTCAAAACCATAAAACAACATGTATTCTAAGTTCTATATGTATAACTTTTCTTTAAAATCAAGATATTGATTTCTTATATTATCTCAAACCTAATTTCATATAATCTCAGGTGATACGGTCAAAATTATAAATTTAAAAATTTGTGTATACATGATGCCATAATTATCCAAGTAGAGATGATGGTTTTGGAAATTGAAGATGTAAAGTGTTGTTATTGAACTTGAAACTAATTTGATTATGTGGGACTTCTTTGGAAAAAGTGTTGGGATTGTGAGCTTTGATAAAATGAATTGAAATTTGGTTGTTGAGAAGACCAAAGATAATTGTGTAAATGTGGGCCAAAATTGCAATCGGGAAGAAATGACTATAAAGTTTGTTATTTTTTGTCTCACTCCAAAACTTAGGTCGGTAGATATGAATCTAAGCCACTAAAGTCATAACATCATCTTTTTGTGACTTCACATACTACGGTCGTGTTCAACACCATCTCTTGGGATGTACATTAGAACCGTCGGAACCGGAACCGGAATTGGTAATAAAATCCGGTTACCGGTTCTCCGTTTCTAGGAAAATCGGTCCCGGTTCTAAAAATCGTAACCGGTTTGATATTTTTCCCGTTTTTTAAAATGCGCATAAAGTCGGAATTACTTGATTTTTTTTTTCAACATGTAATTTGGAGTTTGTAATTCATTTTTTACTGTACAAACATATGTTTTGGTTACATATTGAATAAGACACATGCTCCGAATGAAAGAATATCGATGCTGCCTTTTTTCTATTTCAACATTTTTTTGTTTTTTGAATCTGTCCCATTTTTTTAAATGTGCATAAGTCATTCATATGACGTCGGAATTACTTAATTTTTTTCCAGCATGTAATTTGGTGTTTGTACTTCATTTTAGACTATAAAAACACATATTTTAGTTAGATATTGAATCAGTTATAGACCCCGGAAAACAGCATATCAATGTTGCGTAATTTCTGTTTCAACATTTTTTTTGGAATCTGTCCCGTTTTTAAAGTGCGCATAACTCAATTATATGAAGTCGAAAATACTTGATTCTTTTTTCATCATGTAATTTAGTGTTTATACTTCAATTTAGAATGTAAAAGGTCATAATTTGGTAAAATATTGAATCATTTACAAGCTCCGGAATCTAACATATCATCTATAATATTTCAACCAGTTCTAGTTTAAAAAATAACCGAAAAATCGGGACCGGAACCGGCGCTAGAACCGGTGGTCCGGTTCTCAGTTCTTATAATATAGGAAAACCGGTTCCGGTTCCGAACTGGTCCGGTTGTAAAGCTCATCCCTAACCATATCATTTAAGTAAGAAATTATCACCACAATTTCACATCAAAGTAATTTTCATATCAATACTTTTTTTCTTTTTTTTAGAGTGTTTCTTTTTTTTTCAATAGTTATAAATATAATTATATAATATTAAAAAACATAACATTTAATAAAAAAAAGACATTGCAAGACTAAAAAAATACATAATCTTTTTTTTTCTAACTACACTACTCTTCATCATCGTTAGCATCATAGATATGATCGGGCAAGTCTTTTCGAAGTTGTCTGCGTTTTTGTGCATCTTGAATATCAACGATTATATGCAAATATTTCATTGAACCTAGTTGAAATTGCATGTGTCGGGGGTCCATTGGCATATATTGTGCAATATTTTGTCATTTATCTTCCACTACCATGTTATGCATTATGATACATGTATACATAGTATATCATAGAGTTTCTATCTCCAATGGTCGTGTTGCATGTTCTATTATGTGTCACTTCGACTTTAGAACTCCAAAAGCATGTTCCACATCTTTACATGCTGTTTTTTTCTCTTGAAGAATTTTTCTTTTGGTTTCATTGGGTGTTGGAATGCCTTCACGAATGTGGAATACATAGGATATATTTCATCTGGAAGGTAATACCCCAAACTTATATTCGTTTCCATTCATTATGAAAAGGAGCATCTGGTGCCTTTCCTGACAAAGTATCGTTGAAAATTGGTGACTGGTCAAGAACGTTGATGTCGTTGTTTGAACCCACAACCCCGAAAAAAGCATGCCAAATCCACAAATATTGGGAAGCAACAACCTCTAATACCAATGAAGACGTTCCATGATGATCACTTGCAAGCTGTCATCTCCACGCATGGGGACAATTTCTCCAATTCCAGTGTGTGCAATCAATGTTTCCAATCATACCGAGAAAACCATGTCACTCTTCATGTGCCACATATAGTTGTTTCATATACCTCAACAAAAGTTTTTAGAAATAAACGTCACCAAATGTTTCAACAACACATTTTGACAATTTATACAAACTTTCTCTTACAGTTCTTTCATACATTCTCATATAATCGTACATGGAATCGGGTGACTCCCCGTAAACCATCAACCGAATTTACACAACATATTTCTACAACCCTGTGAATCCTTGTGTAACACCCAATTCATGTATGAAATAATGTTATGCATGGTTAAAGTTTTAATTTGGATTTTGGGAATTTTGTTTTCCCGCTGAGCGGTAGTTGGGTTACCACGATGCGGTAGTCATTTAATTATCACAGCACGACGTCGTAATAGGAACAAAACCCTAAGTTTTGGGCCTTGAGACTTATTTAAGGTGTGTAATGGAGAGGGTTTCCTCAACCATCAACCTCCATCACCTCCAGAGAGCTTATGTCAAACCCTATCCCTCCTCCATGTACTTGAGCCTTATTTGTCTAGATCTTGTTTTTTGAAGGAAGAAGAAGAATGTTAGGGGAGAAAGGAAGCATCAAGTAAGCATAATCTAATCTTTTGAGCATCCTTTGGAATTTTGTAAGTCTTCAAGGCTCAAATTTTATGAATAATGTTTCTTAGATCGTGAGTTTTAAGATAGTTTCGTCCATTTGTGGGTTTTGGATTAATGGTTAGAATAAAGTTTGCAACTTTTATTGCTTTCTGAGGTCCCCGAAGTATAGTATGTGTTATATCTGGTCTCTGCCCTTAATTTGGTGACATGCATGGAGTTAGGACCATATTTCACCATCTTTGACCTAGAATGTGATGGGTTTTGAGCATTCTAACACTCCTATGGTGTACATGCAACCCTAGAAACCTTGGATCTATGTTTTCTCTAATATTCATGCAAATATGAATTTTCCAAGGTGTACATCCTAACTAGCATGGCATGGGGTACTTGTAATATAAAACTAGTAGAATGACATACCTTTTCTTGTAGCTTGGATTCCTTAAGACCTTGTGAGCCTAGCACCCCAAATGTGATGCCTCAAATGTTTCACACAACACCACAACTCTTGGAATAACTTGAGAGAAGAATACTTTGATCACAAAATCGGCTAGCCTTCACCCTTTTAGTCTTAGTGGACGATTTTGCTCCTTATGAGGTTGCTTATATATTGTGCCACATATAGGGTTATACCATGTAAACCCTAATGTGCATGGCTTTTTATTTCCCCCATGATCCATGGGTTTTAACCTCCATGGAGCATCCATGGAGCACCCAATGGGTCCTAGCCCAATCTAGTGAATCATGGACCATAAGCCCACTATATAAGAATGAATGATTTACAAATCAATCCCCATATATTTAATTAGTCTCCTTTTGATCACAAAATTAATTCCAAATTAATTCTTGATAAATACTAATTAAATAATA